GGACTTTCGTCATCCCGAGGTGAAAGGTCCTACTAAACTGGGAACCTCCCAAATCTCATTCCCAAAATACTAAAAGTAGAGGTGCTGGGATTAGCAAGAAAATAGCAAGATACCGGGGTGGAGGAGACAAAACTGTACTACGAGAAGATGAGAGAGCGTGGGGGCGTGGCTACCCCGGGCTAGGCCCCTGCGCTTGGAGAAGGGGAAGAGTCTGTCAGTCTGTGGGGGAGACCTAGCGCCACAACCCAATCACTGGATTGAATCACACCGCGGGGACGGAAAAGAAGGCGGAGCCTGCCGACCTGGAGGCGGGGTTTTGTCAGAGCCGGGGCGGAGCCTATAGAGGAGGCGGGGCTTCGGGGACCTGTCTCCGGCTGGGGATCGGAGACCGAGGGAGCTCGGCTGGGGGCGCTGCATTTAGAGGCGGGGGACTGGAGTGACTGAGGGCCGGGCATCTGGCGGGGATCCCGGGAAGTGGCATTTCTGGGGGTGGGTTTTTTTCCGGGGTTCCTGAGGAACTGGATTCGGAGCGTGCCCTCAAGGCGAGAAGTTCCGTGGAGGCCGAGTTTAGGTTGTATCGAAATTTGGTGGCCCCAGAGGCAGGTGTGCGGGGCACCCACTGGATCCGCGTCGTGGCTGCAGAACGCGCTTGGGAAGTTGAGGGGCGCGGGGTGGGGCCGGGCCGGGTGGGCCCTTACGGATCCCAGTAGTTCTCGTGGTGCTGCGCGGCGATGATGATGACTACAGTGAGGATAGTACAGAGCACCATGGCTGCAATGCCCACCGCCAGGGAGATGAAGGAGAAGTTCCGGGCCTCGCGTGAAGCGATCTCGGCAGACACCATGTCTCCGCGAGCCAAGGCTGTGCGTACCTGCGGGGGAAGGGCAGAAGGAAGAGGATCAGAGCCGCTGTTCCTTCTGAGATGCTCCCCTGAACATCCCGCACTCCGTTAGAATAGGAAAACCCGAGTGAGGCCGCCTTTCCCAGACGCCGCCCTCGACTCCCCTTCCACCTGCACTGCCTTGAAGATGGCGATGATGCCCGTAGGCCAGAAGCAGCAGATGGTGGTCAGCACCGCGATGGGCATGTAGTCGTGCGGCGGGCGCCTCGGCTCCAGCAGGGCCAACCCTGGGCCCTGGGGCGGCGGGGGGAGCGTGGAGGTTACTCCTGTTCCCCCCGGGGTCCCGCCTGCATAGGGCTGTGGAAGGAAGGATGCAGGGAGAGGACAGGACGTCATTCTCATCCTCTCCCAGCCTACCAACATTCTGCGTCTGGCAGAGTGGTTTTTAAAGCACCATTCTTGGACGTTGATTCTCAAAAGAACTTATCATCCATTACCCTTCCATGACACCCATAAATTCCCTGTAGGTTCCTCTCTTTTCGTCATTGCTGTGATTGCCCTATGTTCTTAGTGATCTCCACATTCCCTCCCCGTAAGGTATGGCCATACCAGCGCTGTCTTGGCTCACTCCAGGCCTTGTTTCTTCTCCCCAAATATCTGCCTGGCCTTCCCTAATCAGTCAGTTCCAGGTTTCTTTTCCTTTCTCCTCCTTGGTCCCGGGATTCCATTTCTTCTCCCCCTCTCTCCTTTCCCTCTTTCGAAACTCCTCTGGACTTCTGTGCTCCGTTCCCCTTCCCAGACCCTGATCTCTGACCCCAACAGACTGCCAGACACCCCCCCCCCCGCCCCCAGCTGCAACCCACATACACCACACACACACACACACACACACACACACACACACACATTCCCAAGGCTTTCCTCAGTCCCTCCTCTCTCTAGGCCTTGTCTTAGGAACCTGCCCCGTCCCCTGGCCCTGTTTCTCTATCCCACCAGCCCCACCCTCACCCCCGCAATGTGTCCTCACCCCTTCCTCCCGGGCCCCTGTCCACCCTGTACTCACCGTGCCCACCGGGTAGACCGGCACATAGGCAGTGCAAGGCTGCAGCTGTAAGGGGTAGCCAGGGGCTACGTAGCCCCCCCAGTGGCAGCGTGCCTACCGCCCCCGTGTGCGTGGGCACCACGAAGCCGGGAGCCTGGGCAGTATGAGAGGGCGCCGGCGGGGGCGGAGCGGCGGCGGCTGGCGGCGGCGGGGGCAGTGGGCCCTCGAAGCGAGTCTCCTGCAGGTAAGGGTCGGGTGGCATGCGGGGCAAGGTAGCGCAGCCGGGTGGGGGCGCCCCGGCGGCCGGGCCGGGCGGGGCGTGGTGTGGTGGCCGCGGCAGAGTGGCGGAAGATGAGGGACCGCGCTGACCAGTGGCCGCGGAAGAAGCCAGGCCGCCTGCCCCTAAGCGCGGGAGGGTGGCAGTCCCGGACTGGTGGTAGTGGTGGTGGTGGTGGTGGTGAGAGGAGGGGGCTGCCTGTGGGGGTGGGGCGGGGGGTTCGGCTGGGGGCTGGGGGGCATTATAGGGTGGCGGAGAGGTGTGAGGGACTGAGTCTGAGAGGCCTGGGGGTGGTGAGCGGAGGAGAGGGTATGGGACAGAGGCAAGACAGGCAAAGAAGAGATAAGGAAGGAGATAAGGGGGAGACACAGAGGGCCAGGGATGGGGAAAGATAATGGGAGAGACAGAGGAGATGGATGAGAAGGCATCTCTTGGTCTTGGGGCAGGAAAGGGATTGGATCTAGGCCATCTGCCCCCACCCCCCACTTTTTTTTCAATCTGATTTTGAGGTCGCAACTCTCCTCCACTCTTCTCTGTCTTCAGTAATGTGCCCAGAGCTTTCACCTGCCACCAAAGCTATGGCTGCCTGGGACTTGCCCATCTGAGCTAGTCCTGAGTGTGCACATGTGTAGACATGCAACACAGTGTTAACATGTGCTTAATTCAACAGTTGTATAAACACATGGAGGACGACATATTCCACTCTGCCTTCTTGCCCTGGGGAGGGGTGCCCTAGCCTCTCTGAGAATTCCAGTACCTCTTTTAGGGCAGATAAAGAAGGGTTTTACTCCCCTAACAACCTCCATTTGATCATATCTTTATATGTCTCCACTGGATGTCCCCATGCAAGCCAATGTCATCGGTCCATCTGTCACTCCCAATGCTGCTGTCCCTGCAGTACCTGGCTGATGCTAGGCCACTCTTCTACTTCCCTCACCCTTTCAACCTGTCCCCTTTCCATGTTGTTGGCAAGGGGACAAGGCTGAGATTGGAGGGAGGAAAGGAAGAGAAGGGAGGGATATAGAAGGAGAAGGGGGATGGGGGGGTTGAGAGCTGGACAGAAGGGGAATGAAACAGAATCACCCCCACCCCCCCAGGGAGGGGTAAGGGAGGTAGAGGGTTGGGGCCAAGGATGGTGGAGGGGGGAAGAGTCTGAAGATGGTGGAAAGGGTAGGTTTTGTTGTTTTTTACCTGACTTTTCCGATGACATGCCTGTGGTTTCACTGGGACAGGGTCCCTGTAGCGGGAGTGGGGTCCCTGGCTGGCGTCGGAGTCTCGGTGAGCAGATTGCGCAGCCGGTAGCGGCACAGAGATGGAGAGATGAAGACAGCGGCGGGGGGCGGAGGGAGAGCAGGGAGGGGGGGGAGCTTAAAGGGACCGAAAAGAGGGAGGGGGACAGTTTCCGAGGTACCCTCACTCCGTCTCTCCTCCTCTCACCCTGGCATTCAAGCCCTCAGTTTGGGCTCCCTTGGAGTTGTCATGGAAACAGGGAGGCAAGCAAGACCGGGCGAGGCGGGTGGGACTAAGGGAAGGAAGGAGGGAGGGAGAACTCTCTAGAGTCTTCCCCTTGAAGACTGGCTGTAGTGATTATATTGTGGGAGGAAGTGAGCAGGTGCTCAGTGGATTTAGTACCCCAGTCCCCACCGGATCTCATTCACCCTAGTCAGGGGCCCCCCTCCTCAGCTTCCCTCAGAGTCCCTACAAGTTCTCAGGATCTTCCTCCAAATCCTTAGCTCTACTTTCCCCCACTTTAGGAAGGGTAACTGTATATGAGAGACAACTGCAGAGTTGAGACCTGCGATGGCTTGAAGAGTTCCCAGGGTTATGGCCTGGGGTGAACTGCAGGTAAAGTGCCGGGGGCTTGGGTCTACAGTGGTTCAGCAGCCGCTGGGCCTGTGGCTGGGGGAGTGAGGGTTGGCAGACTGAGAGGAAGCTGGAGGGATGCAGAGACACCTTTTTCTCCGGAGTGAAGGAGCTCAGCACTTTGGGAGGAGGGGATGGATCAGTTCATTTCTGGCAACTCCATTTTGGGAGTATGTGCTTGGTCTCCCTTTCCCCCTTCGATAATTGGGCTTCTTAGAGTTTCTGGGCACATCAGTGTTCAGATCCCACCCACCCACCACCCCTGCCAAGACGCAAAGCCACCTCCTGAATCGACAGGAGAGTATGTGGTGGGGGGCGGGGGGAGGTTGGAGCACAGCTGTAATTGCGGGCTTTTATTTCTTCATTGTATCTTGTGAGCGCTTACAAGGGGAAGGAAGGTGAAGGTAGGCAGTCTACCGGGATTTACAAGACTTGGGCTTTTCGCAAAAGCACAGTCGGGGTATCATTAACCCTCTCCTGCCTCCACCTTCAGATTAGTATTCCCCATCCCCCCACTGAGGCAGTCGCCTTCTCCAGCTGTGTCCTTCCCCTTCGCGTCCAAGCCGAGGCTACAGAGCTGAAGCCCTCGCTTGGACCAGTCCCAGGCTCCTGACATTTAGGTCAGGGCCCCGAACTGGTCGTTCTGGTTTCGCGTTCGTGTTCCCGTGAGCTCCGGACCCCCTACCGCCACCCCGTCCTCACATCACACACCTCTCGGCACACGTCAGTTTTATTGAGAAACTTTAGACTTGCAAAGACCTTGTGACTAGAGGGAGGGACTCAGACAAGCTTCGAAATCCTTTTTCCTCAAGGGGAACGCTTTTAAATGCTAAGTAAAAGCCCACCTAGGTATCGGGAAAGGGGTCGCGGCCGGAGGTGCAGGACACCTGGAGCGCGGAAGTCCGGATGCGGTGCGAGGGTCTGCGTCGCAAGCCGCCCACAAGAGCTCCCAGCCGAGGGCAGATTGTGGGGGGGGTCCCTCAAGTTGAAAGACTGGTGGAAACCACGCGAGCGTGAGTCAGCGCTGCCCCAGGGGCCCTCCACCCCTTGGAGGTGGGTCGTATACCGGGAGCGGAGTAGAGTAGGCCGGGAGAAACTGGGCCAGGCAGCACTTTTAGCTCGAGGGGCCTCAAGGACTCTTCGCGTCCCTGGAGACAAGGGCACTACACGCACTTCATAATGAACAGTTGTAAGGCGCTGACCTGGGGCCGGCGGCTGGCCGGTAGGGGTGGGGAGGGGTCAGCCTGGGCTGGCTTCAGCCCGGATCCGGCGTAGGTCGAAATGCGGAGGACTGCCTTTCCCCAGTCTGTTCCCCAGCGCCCTCTCCCTCACCCCCACCCTGGGGGAGGGAGAACTTCATGTTCCGCAGCCGAGCAGGACGCCTGAATTGGGAAGTGGGGCGAATCAAGGCCAGGAAATCGGATCCTCGGCTCGCTGGTGCAGCAGGGCCTGGACCGGCCTTCTCCAGATTCCCAGGATATGTTTGCCACTTCTTCCTCTCCCCACCGGCCTAAATGGATCGGTCTGCCTACTTCCTCCCCCGCTCCCGGAATGCAGTGGAATGTTCCATTGCCCCTCCGGTCCCGGCTGCGTTTCAGGGGACGCCGGCACGGTTGCCAGGGAAAGCCCCGGATGTGACGGCGAAGCGCGACCCCTAGCAGCCTCCCCTCTCCCGTCCGTCATTCCCCTGCGCGCGCTGTCCTTACACCCTTCCCCTCCCCCCCACCCGCGGGTTCGAGTCTAGGGAGAAGTAAACAGCGGGCGGAGCCAGGCTCACGGACCTAGGCCAGGTGGGAGCTTGCATTCTCCAGGAGCCTGCGCTGCTGCTCAGGGGTCTTTCTTGCAAAAGCCAGGGTCGTGCATGGCTGGCATGATGCATTAGGAAGATCCTGGGCCTAGGGACTGAGTCCCGGCTGAGTTGGGGGCGGGGTTTCGGGTGTGCGTCGGTGCGTGTAGGGGGGTGTGTTTCCCTACAGTCCTGAAGTAAGTTCAAAGTAGTCTATTTTGTGACCTGGACCTAGTTTGAGCACGGTCGGGGGCGGATCTTGATTGCCGGGCGTCTGCTCCGAGGGGAGAGCGTGTTGTCATCTCTCTCACAGGCCCTCATCGCCCCCTTCTCAGGCGGGAGCATGCTGGTCCTCAGAGAGCTGCGGCTCCCCCCGGCGGGGATTCTGCTCCTGTTGCCGTTCCTGCCGCCGCTGCTGCTGCCAGCAGCCCCTGCGCCCCATCGCGCTTCCTACAAACCGGTCATCGTGGTGCACGGGCTCTTTGACAGCTCATACAGCTTCCGCCACCTGCTGGAATACATCAACGAGGTCTGGCAGGGGACACTCGGTTGTGGGGCGCGCGACTGTAGTGACGGGGGAAGGAGAATGGGGAACTGAAAACTGCGCTTCCGGGTCTGCCCAGTTCCTAGAGGAGCTGGTGCTGGCGTTGGGAGAGTCGGAGGATGAGATCCCTGGTTCTCATTGCAGGGCGCCATAGGCATGAGGACGCTGGCCAGGGGGCGGTGTGGAGGGGCTTCATAGTCCATCCCCTGTTGCAGCATTGCCCCCTTCCCACAGACACACCCTGGGACTGTGGTGACAGTGCTCGATCTCTTCGATGGAAGAGAGAGCTTGCGACCCTTGTGGGAACAGGTGCAAGGGTTCGGAGAGGCTGTGGCCCCCATCATGGCAGAGGCCCCTGAAGGGGTGCATCTCATCTGCTACTCGCAGGGTAGGCGCCCTCCCCCTCCCAACTTCTAAGCCCTATCTGAGGCTTGATCCTTACCTGAGGGACACTTCCTGGTGTCCCCTTTTCTGAACCTGGTTGTTCCTAGCCAGAGCCCTAGTACCTGAGCCCTACTTTTCTGACTTCCCTCAGCACCTGGGTCTTATCTCTGTGTCCTCAGTGGGAGGGAGGCTCCCCATGCTGCTGCCCCCTTTTGCCATTACCCATGGTTCTTGGACATAAGGGATAATGGGAGAGTAAAAAGCACCCTACAGGTAGAGTGGGGAGACCCAGAATCTAATTCTGGCTCTGTTACTTTCACGACATATAACTTTTTGCCACAAGGTGTGCCTGCTTTCTCTGGGCTTCAGTCCTCTTACGGGGACACGCTGGGGGTGGGGAGCATGTTGGGAGGCTGTTGGCCTGGCTGTCCCTAAGTCCCAGCCTCATGTGGCATTCTGCCTCCAGGGGGCCTGGTGTGCCGGGCACTGCTGTCCGTCATGGAGGAGCACAACGTGGATTCTTTCATCTCTCTCTCCTCTCCACAAATGGGACAGTATGGAGGTGAGTGGGGATGGTGGGCTCCAGAGAGGGCCCTGAGTTTTGGGGACACAGAAGTTTGGGGCCACTGGACTCTGCTGTTCTCTTGCCAGATACAGACTATTTGAAGTGGCTCTTCCCTACCTCCATGAGGTCTAACCTCTACCGGATCTGCTACAGCCCCTGGGGCCAAGAATTCTCCATCTGCAACTACTGGCACGGTGAATAGGGGATACCAAACTGGGGTCTGCATGGAGGGGGCACCCTGGGGGGGGTAGGGTCTGCTGCTCCCCCTTGTACCATAACCAGCAGTGATGCTGAAGATAACTTCAGCGATGCTGAAGATAACTGTGTGACTAGGCACTATTGAGAACACTTTCTGTGTATTACCTTACTGCTTCAGAGTTAGTCTGGGGCAGGGGTCAGTAAACTTTTTCTCTAAAGGGGCAGATAGTAAATATTTGGTTGTGATTGTTTTCTGTATCTGTAAAATAATAATATAGTATCTACCCTATAGAGCGTTGTAAAGATTAAAGAAATTAACATGTAATATACGTAATATACTTTGAACAGTACCTGGCATCCTAGGTGCTGGATAAAGGTGTTTGCTCTCTTGTTCACAATTCCTGTTATTGCTTCTCTTAGTAGTCACCTTGTCTATCACTGTAGTCCCTGATTGGCCTTTCAGCCTCTGGTCTTACCTCTTTTCCCTGCTTCTCTGACTGTCTTTCTAACTGCTCTTTGTACCTAGACCCTCACCATGATGACTTGTACCTCAATGCCAGCAGCTTCCTGGCCCTGATTAATGGGGAAAGAGATCATCCCAATGCCACCGGTGAGACCCTAGGCTCCTACCTGGGTCCCGTTTTCTGCCTCTCTGACCCCCTATGTTTGCCTCTCCAACAGGGCCTGACCCCTGTGACTGACGCAAGGTCTTTTCTTCCCACTCTTCAGCATGGAGGAAGAACTTTCTTCGTGTGGGCCGCCTGGTGCTGATTGGGGGCCCTGATGATGGTGTTATTACCCCCTGGCAGTCTAGGTAATAAGGGACTGTGTGGCCTGAAGATTGGCTAAGGACTTCCCCCAACTCCCAGTAATATTTATCTCAGGCCTGCATGCCCCACCCTCCACATATCCTGTCACTGGAGACCAAAACGTGGGAATCATCATCCCTCAACTCCTTGTATCCAGCCAGTCGCTACGTCCTCCAGACTCTGCTTCCTCTCCATCCCTAAACCCCTGCCTTGTAAAAACTTTTAGCTTTCAGATAATTGCAGATTCATAGAAAGCTGCAAAGATAGTGTAGAGAGGTCCTGGGTATGTATTCTTCGCCCGGTTCCCCCCACAATTGCATCCTATGTAACTCTAGCGCAGTATCAAAACCAGGAAGTTGTCATTGGTAGGATGTGTATAGTTCCATGCCATTTTATGTTTCCTCCCACCTGTTTTACATACCTAGACTTCCGTAATGACCTCCAGCCCCGTCCCCTCCATCCTGTACCTCAGGAAAATCTGTGGCTCCATTATGCTATGTATGGGCCTCTGTTGCAGACCATCATGAGTGATCTAAAATGTCACCTAAGCTACTTTAGTCCTTAATGAATATTTATGGAGCACTGTATGTATGCCCAGGCACTGTTCTGGGCCACTGGGATGCAGGGGTAAATGAGAGAGAAGTCCCTGCTATTACGTAGCTTACGATCTGGTAGTGTAGGAGACATAATAAATGTAAATACATATATCAGGTGGTAATAAGACAAGGCAGGGGAAGGGATTAGAAGATAACTGGAGCCTATGTCAGATGATGGCCAGACAGGTCCTGGAAGAGTTGCCATTTGAGTAGAAACTTGAAGTGAAGGAAGGAGCTGTGGAACAATCTAGTGGGGCGGGGGGGATGACTCCGGGAAAGGAGTAGCATCTACAGATGTCCTGGGGCAGGTGTGAGGAATAAGGAGGCCAGTGGTTAGAGTGCAGGGAGCTGGGAAGGGCGGGAGAGGAGATGAAAGGGGTAGTAGGGATCCAGTGATGTTTAGCCTTTGTAGGGCAGTCAGGCCTTGATTTTTTTTCCCCCCTAAAATATAACATAAAAGTTACCGTTTTAAGTGTACACTTCAGTGGCATTAAGCACATTGACATTCTTGTGTAACCATCACCACCATCCATCTCTTAAAACTTTTTTTTTCCCCAAACTGTAACTCCATAGCCATTAAACATGAACTCCCCATCCCTGCTTTCCCCCACTCCCTTCCCCAGCTCTTGGCAACCATGGCCCTTGACTTTTTATTTTGAGATGGGAAGGCCTTGGAGGATTTTAAGTGAAGGAGTCACGGGACTCCCATGGGATGGGATTTGTTTTTTCTCATTTTACCTCCACAACCCTGTGAAGATAGTAATAGCTCACAATTACATGGCATGTTTTACATGTCAAGGCATGATTCCAAGTACTTCTCAAATAAACCTTATTCAATCCTCATAGAGTCAGTAACTTGTGAAGTCAGGCTATCTGACTTAACCATGCGGTTTCACTTCCTCTCTGCAAAGGAGGTATTCTTATATGGGACAAAGAGAATAATACGCTCAGCCACACATGTTTGGGAGTGTGCAGCAGAGCCGGAGTTCAAACCCAGGTCTGTGTGCCCCTGCTACTCTCCTACACCTGGTGAAACGTATGGCCTCCCGGCCTCCAGCCCAACTCAGCATGGCCTCTGGGCCTTCAGCCCAGCTCCCCCCCAGCACCCAGCTGGGCCTCACTTCTGTACCTTGGCTCCTGCTCTTCATTTGCCTGGGGAACAGCCTTCCCTAGGGGAGAGTCCTCACTGGGAAGCCTTTGTTGGTGCTTTAGAACCAGGCGAGTGGCCTCTCTTTGTTCCCGTAGCCTATTGGACTTAATACTATTAGCCTTTGTTTGTCATGGACAGTGCCCTCTCACGGCCCATGCCAGTTAAATACTGCTTTTGAGAATCTTAAGACCTGTTTATCCTTTATATTTGGGAATAATTTCATACTTAATAAGTTACCAAAGTATTACAAAAGCAGTCTTAATGTATTCTTCATTTAGATTTTCTAAATGTTAACATTTTACCATGTTTCTGCCCTCCTCTGTTCTCTATTCAGATACAGGGTATAGGTGTGTTTGTGAACTGTTTGAGAATAGGTTGTAGACATGAGGTCTCTTTATCCCTAACACTGCAGTATGTCTGTCTGTCTGCTGTGCACAGGACATTCCTTATGTAGCCCCAATACCATGATCAAAGTCAGGAACTTAACATGGCTAGGCTACTCTATAGACCTGATTCAGGTATTTTCCAGTTGTCCTTAATGAAGGACATCTTAATGAAGGGGGGAAAAAAATTCATTGCAAGATCCATCCTGGGATCATGAGTCGCATTTACTTGCTCTTTAGTCTCTCTTTTTTTTCTGGACTACTTGTCTCTGACATCGAAATTTTTGAGGAGTGTGGTCCAGACATTTTGTAGAATGTCCCTCAGGGTTTGTCAGCTGTTTCCTCAGGAGTAGGTTCAGGTCACGCATTTTTGATGGGACTCTGCAGAAGCCTTGCTATAGTTTCAGTGAGGCACATGATACCTAATTAAGTATTTTGAGTGTCTTGCGGCCATGAGTTCCCAAAGTCCCCTAGCCTACCTTGATTTTCTCCAGCTCTCCTGATAACCTCCTCTGCCCACCCTCAATCTCTTTGTAGCTTCTTTGGTTTCTATGACGCCAATGAGACGGTCTTGGAGATGGAGGAGCAACCGGTGAGCCCCCTGGGATTGTGTCCCCTTTCTTCATGCTCTGTCCCACCTCAGTCTGTAGCCCTCCCTGCCACCGACCCCTGAGCGCGGAAGGGTTCACCCTGTGGGGAGAGGGGACTCAGGACACCAGCAGGAACTCATTTTGTTTCTTCATCTGTCTGTCTGCTGTGACCCTTTGCCCACCTTGAAGGTTTATCTGCGGGATTCTTTTGGGTTGAAGACACTCTTGGCCCGGGGAGCCATAGTGAGGTGTCCGATGGCTGGGATCGCCCACACGGCCTGGCACTCCAACCGTACCCTTTATGAGACCTGCATTGAACCCTGGCTCTCCTGAGGATGTCCTCAGAGATCCCCCGGGAACTCCCCAGCCCAGAAACCAAGCGGTGGCCTTGGAAGGCAAATGTCAGGCTCTGATGTGCCTGGGACCACCCCATTGTTCCCACACTGCCCGCACCAACTAGGGCTCCCACGACCCCTTCCTCCTCTTCTCTGTACATGACAAATCCTGGTGTTCCCCCAGCTCATGTCTGGGGTTTGCTCCGTGCTCTCTCAGCCTCCCAAGCCCAAGGTTGGGAAGAGAGAAACCAGGTTTTTAACTTGTGGCTGCTCCTGCTGTTGCTGCTGCTGCCGCCGACCCTCCGTCTCTGGCTGTTACGGAAGGAGAACCCAGCCCCTGCCCGCTACAGGGGTCTCCTTCTAGGCCACTCAGGTCATTTTTAGCTTCTCTTCTCCCCATGTTCCCTTTTCCTCAGCTTTCCCAACTCCCAGGAAGGACTACCCATGAGAGTGGGGTTCTGAGGCTCCCCTATGGGGACAGTTCTGTTCTTGAAATGTCAGTGTTGGGGAATATCTATGGCCTGTGAGGCCCATCTCAGGTTTGGGGATCCCCCAGTCCCTACGTTCAGTGTTGGGGTACCCCCTGGGAGCCTAGTTTCTTTGAGGCCCCAGCCCCTCTTTTAGCTATCATTGAATGGGTGTTAACCCTGTATTAATGGAAATAAAGTTCCATTTCCTCAGTGTGGCTTGGCTCATTTCCAGGTAAGGGGGACCTGGCTCCCCAAGGAAGGTGGGGATGGAGAGCCTGAGGTCTGGGTGCCCGGATGCCTGGTCTGGGGTGGGACCCCCTTGGTGTTTCCGCTCTCTAAATGCCCATTCTGTGTGGGTTCCTGATTCTCTGTGGGTTCTTTCCTGCAGAGGACAATTCTCTTCCTGTCCCAGCCTAAGCTTGGGGGGCTGAGCCCAGAGCTCCAGTGGTTTGTGCCCCAGCCTCATGGGTGGAATGCGCCTGCCACCCCCAGGCTAGACAAGGGGGCTAAGGGTCAGGGTGGGCATTTGTTGCGCCCCTTTTCGACCTTTGTAGGCCACAGTTGGGTGAGAGGCTGGACAATGAGCCTCCTCTTCCTTGAAAGAAGGAATTTTGGTGGAGACAATAGGGCCCTGTCTAGTCTTGCATGGGGGGTGGTGGCTGACTCAACTCTGCCCCCCTCAAGGCCCTAACAAATGTCATCAAGAAATGGGGGGCAATTTCCCCTTAGTGCCCTGGGCTGTCCACCCCCCCTTGGCCTTTTGTAATGACTTGCCCTCCTTTCTTTCTTCAGCTGTTCTTGCCTCTTCTCCCATGACCTGACCGTGCTTTTCTCTGCCAGTTCTCTCTCTCTGCCCCCCCCCCCAGTTGTCCCCAAGTCTGTGTTGGGTTGAAGGATGTGGCAAGGACCAGAGGTACTGGTGGTGGTACAGAGCCAGTACCCTCTGCTGATTTGGGAAGTCCAGAAATAACGTCTCAGAGGGTTGGAAATTTACTTCTAGGGGGCCCTTTGCTGGGGTGGTGGTGAGGGTAGTGGGACTTGGACACCACCGAGCAGATGAAGCAGGAACTGTGAAGGCTTGTGGGATGGGGCAAGAATGGGAGGATTCTGTCTGGCCTGGCCCCTCCTCTCCTTCCCAGCCTGCCTAACCCGCCCACCAGTCTGAGCTGCTGCTGCTGAGGCTGGTCTGCTTCAAGTCTCCGGGAGAGTGGGAAAGACAGGTGGGGAGACTGTAATGGGGAATAGCCTTAGAATGAGTGTGAGTTGGGGAGTGTTGTATGAGGGGTGTTGGTGTGGGAGGGAGTAGGGATGTATTTAAGGTGCAATTTCTAGGTGCATGGTTTTGGGTACAGTGTGAGAGTATGTAATGTTGCCTCTCTGAGGCTTCAAAGATAGAAAAGTGTACAAGAGGGCCTGTTACAGATAGGAGGGTCCTGGGGAGAGTTAACTGTAGTGTAGAGGGGGGTGGAGGGAGTGTGTCGGGGTGTGCCCTTGCATGATGCTGCGGGGACCAGGTGTACTGAACAAAGGGGTCATGTTAAAAGTGACAATCCTGATGGCTAGTGCAAGTACGTACAGATGACCGTGCTGACTCCCTTAGAGGGCACCCGCAGTCTGCAGTCTGCAGTCTGCTCTCGGAGGGGCCGGAGCTGGAGTGCTTTATAGGAGAGGGAAAGTGCCTCCATTAACCTCTTCTTGCCTGCAGCCTGCAGAGTTTGGAGTCAAGGAGAACCATGGGGTCCAGGAATGAGCTGTATGCGGTCTTCGGCGGACTGTCATTCCTCCTGCTACTGATGTCAGCCCAGGGGGCCAAGGGAGGATCCCTCAAAGAGAGGTGATGATAGAGGGCACAGGGCAGGTGTGAGGTCTTCAGGAAACCTGCTGCGAGTGGCACTTCAACGGGGGGTGGGGGGTGGGGTGGCACTTCAACAGGGGGCAAAACAATTAAGTTTAGAACGGGGGGGGGGGGCTGTCCTCTAGAGGGAGGGCGGGGCCTCAGTGGAGCCTTGAGGGGAGTGGGCTTCCTGGCCTCTAGGGCCTGGCCCACTCAGTATTTCTCGCCTTCCCTGGCCTGGGTGCAGTCAGGGGGTCTGCTCCAAGCAGATGCTGGTGGTCCCCCTCCACTACAACGAGTCCTACAGCCAGCCAGTGTATAAGCCCTACCTGACTGTGTGCAATGGACGGCGCATCTGCAGCACCTACAGGTGAGGGCTGGGGAGCCTGGACCCTGCTGGTCTTTCAGGAACTTCAGGAACCCAAACCAAAGCCCATAAACCAATGTTCAGAGCCAGGCCTGTGTTCTAGGACCATATACCAAGTGGCATGGAGGGAGGTGAGGAGAGAGGTGCAGCAGACCCATGTTGTGTGCTGCCAGGGCTGGAAGAAGCGACATCCAGGGGCGCTCACCTGTGACGAAGGTGAGACTGGGTATTCCCAGGCCTGGGGACGGAGCGAGCTGGGGGGCTGGAGAGGTGGGCTGTCCTGTTTTGAACCGCCCTTCTGCACCCACAGCCATCTGCGCCAAGCCCTGTCTGAACCGAGGCATCTGTGTCAGGCCAGAGCAGTGCGAGTGCGCCCCAGGCTGGGGTGGGAAGCACTGTCATGTGGGTGAGTGGTCCCTCCCTGCCCCCCCCCCCCCCCAGTGGTGTCAGGACCTCACCACCCTCAAGGCGCCAGCTTGCCCCCATCCTTTAGCCCTCTCTTTCCCTTAACTAGACGTGGATGAATGTAGGACTGGCGTCACCCTCTGCTCGCACCACTGTGTCAACACAGCAGGCAGCTTCACCTGCGGCTGTCCCCAAGGTCTGGTGCTGGGCCAGGACCGGCGCACCTGCGCACAGAGTGTCCTGGAGCCGCCAACCGGTGCCAGCATCCTCAGCGTGGCAGGTGAGTGGGAGTACAGGTGGCAGCAAGGGCCCAGGCTGAACTGGGCTGTAGGTGACACTGTTTATTTTCAGTTCGGGAAGCTGAACATGACAAGCGTGACTTGAGGCAGGAGATTTGGGAGCTGCGAGGGCGCCTGGAGCATCTGGAGCAGGTGAGTGGTGGTGTGGGCCAGGCCCTCCCAGCAGGGAGCGCCCCACCCCGCCCCAACACTTGAGGTGTCCCTTCCTTTGTAGTGGGCTGGTCAGGCCGGGGCCTGGGTCCGGGCTGTGCTGCCCATGCCCCCTGAAGAGCTACAGCCGGAAAAGGTGGCAGAGCTGTGGGGCCGCAGCGACAGGATAGAGTCTCTGAGTGACCAGGTGCTGCTGCTGGAGGAGAGGCTGGGCGCCTGTGAGTCCTCCTGCCCCTCTCTGCTTGAACCCCCATTACCCAGTAGATGCCCCCAGCTGTCCCAGATACCTTTCTGTAGTTCAACTTTCTCTTTTTCCCAAGCCCTTCCCCAACACTTAAGTCTCCCCACACTGTCTCTAGATAGCCATACTTTACCCTTTCTGGTACCCTGTCCCCAAACGACTTATTTGGGTGAGAGTCTCTCCAGTGCCCTGGCAGCCCCAGAAGTCTGCAGCCAATATGTCTGCTTGCTTCCTTGTCATTCACCAGGCTCCTGTGAGGACAACAGCCTGGGTCCAGGCCTCAGACGGCCGAAAAGGAACCTCTCCAGAGCCCGGGTCCCCTAATTTATACAGAAACTGGCCCCACTAATCATCTGGGATGGCCAAGTGGGGAAGTGCAGATAAGGTTATCTGCCACTAAGGAGCAGTGAGTGATGGAAACTTCCAGAGCTGAGGAAGTGGGGGATGATGGATGCCCTGGGCCCACCCGAGTCTTCTGGCTGGGGTAAGGTTGCTTGGGTGAGAACCACTTTAATGCCTTCACAAATGCAGCCAGAAAGTGCCCAGATCTCTCTCTCTCTCTCTCAGTCTTTATTCTCCGTTTCTTGCTGTTATCCAGATAATAAAAACCAACCACGCAAAACTGGGTCCCGCCCTCTCCTTTTGCTCCCAGCCCACCTCTCCAGTTTGTGGGCACAGGTCTGGGGTGGGAGGCAGGAGTAGTTAATGCCACGGGAGGAAATGAAAACTGGCTCAGAGAGGGGAAGCCTCAAAAGAAAAAGAGAAATAAATTAAAAGCCCTCCCAGCCCCTCTAGCCAGGGTTCAGTTCCTTTCCCCAACTCCCCAGGGAGCAGAAGTGAATGCAGCACCTGATGTCTGCCTCTTCCCTTGTGTGTGGTTAGAATGGTACAGCAGGGCTGCAGGGGACTGGATTGGGGCCAGGACCACTGAAGAACCGTACCACAGGGACAGGGGGAAGCAGAAATGTGGAGACCAAATTGGCATCTAGGAGTAGGCTCACCCCTGGGCACCTGGGTATGGGCAGGATGAGGCCTCTGTGTGAGAAAAATCCAGCCTCCACTGACAGGAGGCTCAATGGGAGGGAGTGTGAGGGTGCTAAAGAGTGTTCCCAGGATAAGCCAGGAATGTACCAGGCATTGCTTCCAGCCACAGTGTGAGGAGTCCACACAAATGGAGAAGTCCACTGAATCCGTGGACTTGTGGGAGGCTATTGTTCCACGGAATGGATGAGTCCACTGGCCAATGTGGGGTGGAGAGGGAGAGAAGATCACAAAGGAAAAATGTCCACTGGGGAAAGGATGGTGTGTTCCCACCCTCGTGTAGGTGAGCCACTGGAGATGAAGGGGAGGCAACCGTCCCACAGACAAAATGGCACAGGAGGTGGGTGGGGGGTCAGAGTGGAGAATGCACCAAGGCAAGAGAGTCTATGGGAGGGGGTAGCTGGGAAGGGGCAAGGAGTGGTGCTGTATCCACATTCACTTCAGAAGCTGAAGATTCCAAAGAGGGGAACAGTGGGGAGAGGAGAAACAAGGAAGAGGGCTTGGCCCTGCTTCAGGGCACACTGGGCTGGTAGGTGTGGGAGGAAGGTGGGGGTAGATGGGAGGGGAGTTCAGAGCCGGGCCTCGCCCACCCCTCCAGACTTCTTCAGATAGTCACCACCGCCCCGGCCATCAGTGGAGATTTCCCGGAAAACGGTGAGCATGGAGTGTCGGACTCTGTCAGCCAGAGCTGGGACGTCATCTGGTGTCAGCCCTTCTGTGGGCACTGGGGGCAGCACCCGTACCTGACATCGCCCTGGGAGGGGGTGAGCACCATCATGGCCTGTCTACCTAGGCCTTTGCCCACAGGTGGGGCACAGTTTCTGAGCTCTTCTGCTACTCCCTCCCCAACTTTTCAGTTCAGTTCTCCCTACCCTGGACAATTGCCCCTTCTGCCTGCCAGCTACTTCGTGCTCTGAGACCCTCCTGCACAAAGCCTTTTCCACCCCCTGGGGTCCAGACACCTCAACAGCACCCTTTCAGCCCCCATTGTCTCAGTTTAGCCTTTACTGCCAAGTGTTATTACAGCCTTGCACACACAGGCCTATTTCTCCCACTGGACAGTAACAGCCCCTCTTGGAGGGACCAAGCGTTACCCACGTAGCAGGGTATGGTGGGTGCTTAATAAATATTTATTGGTTGATGTGTGGTCACACTGGATGATCCTTTGGACATCTCAGTTCTGACACCAACCCATCTTCCTCCCTGGTGGGGACACCCTTCTAGCCTCTCTCATCCATGGCCTTTCTGGCCACCCCCAGCCCCACGTCTACTCAGGGCCCTCACCCGAAGTGAAGCGGCGCTCCTTCTTGCAATAGAAGTCTTGATAGGAGGACATGACTATGGGGACAATGGGAACCTGGGGAAAGGGAAAAGCAGAGAGCCCACAGTTCAAGGCCCCATGACAAGCCTCTGCCAAGAAAGAAAGGGATGGTGGAATCTGGGGGCTCCATTAGCAGAAGGGGAAGTAGTAATTACCTGGGCTTGTACTGCAAGGTGGAAGGCGCCACGTTTGAAGGGCAGCATGGAGCCATTGTGGTTTCTTGTGCCCTCAGGAAAAACCCAGACCCGCACCTGGCAAGATAGAGGGTCAAGAAGACATACACAGAGGGGTCAGAATATGGTTGTGATGCTGTTATGGGACCTCTGAGGCCCCCTGGCCCTGTGTCTCAGCTTATTTACAACTGCTCTGCTCCACAATGCCCCCGGCCCTCCTTTTCCACAGGGGGACTCACATCCTGGGTGAGCAGGGTCTGAGCGACTTCAGACATGACACTGATGGCATCCCCCGTGCGCTTCCGGTCAATGAAGATGACTCCTGCCAGCCAGCATGCCAGCCCAGCAGAGCCAGCCCACAGCAGCTCACGCTTGGCAATGGGCACACAGCGGCCTGGCAGTACCTCCATCATCCCTAGAGCAAAAGGTGAAGGGTGAAGGCCAAAGGAGGCAAAGTGTCGTGGAAAGCAGGTCTCAGCGACTAAGGACTGGAGATAAAGGGAAAAGGAGACTGAGGGGAGGGGCCGGGAAGACCTGAGTGGAGGAAGAGGTGATTAAACATATATTAGCTTGTTTGTGCGGGGGAAGGGGAGAAGGGAGCCAGGGGGCAAAGTTCAGATGCAGGGGAGGTGACGACCCCTAGAGGAGGAGATTCTGGGGAAGGAGGAAGGGCATGGCTGGGGGAGGTGTGCCATGAGAAGGATCTCACCAAGCAGGTCGAGTGAGCTCTGGTGGTTGGAGACCACGACGTAGGGCTGTGAGGGAGGGAAGTGGTGAGCCCCACGCACCTCCACTCGGATCCCATACAGGTATTTGATGTGGAGCAGCATCAGGCGCAAGATCCTGTGGGGTCATGGCAAGGGGTTCTAGCAGGAACTACTGATACTTGTCTGCATGCCTCAGTTTCCCCATCCCACCGTCTTTCAGGGCATCTTTGCAGTCTTCTCCCCTTCCCTGTCCCTGGGCGCTCTCTGCTTTCTCTACACACCCAACATCCTCCCCATCCACTGCTCACTTCTGACTCTTAGGTTCTCTCATCACCCAAAATCCCCTGGCCCTCACTTCATGTTCTCAACGTTGCGTCCTCGCACAGCACACACAGGGATGGCGAGCACAGCCAGGAAGAGGATCCAGCCATTGTAGAAGGCCATCTTGAAGAAGTATTTGGCACTGGGGCTGCAGAACCACAGGGTGGGCAGCAGGAAGAGCAGCAGCAGGAGCAGCAGCAGCAGCACAGTCCATACCCCTGGCCACAGCTCCATTCTGGTCACCTGTAGGGGACAGGGCAAGGGACAGTGGACCTGGTCCTGGAGGGGAGTGGGGCGTGTAGGGCACAGAAGGCAGGGTTTGGGGAGCTATGAGGACAAAGGCCAGAGACATAGGATGGGGTCAGGGCTCCAATCAAAACCTGCCTAGGGAAGCCGCTCTACGATGGGGGTGGGGAGGACAGGAGCTCAAGACTGCTCTCCCACCCCTCTCCTGGAAGTCTCCAGAAATATTCACAAGGACAAGAGACATGAGACACGGACATCCACAACTCAGATATATGATAAGAGGACATTAATAACAGCAATAACTAACACCTGTAGTTGGTAAGGTCTTCCGACTAACGGATAGGGTAGCCACCAGCCACATATGGCTGCTGAGTGCTTGAAATGGCCTCGTTTGAACTGAGATGTGCTGAAGTGTAAAATATACATTAGATTTCAAAGACTTTGAATAAAAATCAGAATGTAAAATATCCCATAATAATCTTTTATAGTGATTACACTTTGAAATTTTAACCTTTCAGAATACTGGGTTCAATAGAACATGCTATTAAAATTAAATTCACCTTGTTACTTTTTCCCTTTCTTCATGTATCTACCAGAAAATTAAAAATGACATGTGGCTTGCATTGTATTTCTCTGTGGGATTAGCGCTGAACTACAGACTATGTTAGACCCTTAAATATGAACCACACAATTTACATTTTATAGGAGTGGTTAAATAACTTACCTGAGATGATATGGCTCCTAAGAAGCACTTCCTAGTTTACACCCAAGCAGCTTGTATTCCCAACACAGTTACGCTGCTGCTCGTATGTACACAAAGAGGTGTACATACAGCAGATACGGTTAAGGGACAAAACACCCACAGACATTCTCAAGAGCGCACTGGCAAGCATAAAGGCTCTGTCACTAATGCAAACACAAAGACTGACCCGCTCACACCAGAAGGCTAACTTCAAGTCACGCCCAGTAACAGATGAAGGAATGTAGTAAATGCATAACTAGAAAATCCCCTCTCCGCTAAGGCAGCCACCCCCATCCCCCCTTCCCATTCCCAGATAAACCCATGGACATACCAGGAGTAGCTACCATCTATCAATCCTCCCTCCACAGTCAGGCAAACAAATCCTTCTGCCCCCTTCCCCCCTCTTCCTGGGACACTGCAGGCAACCTGGTCAGGCAGATATAATATTTAAGGCCTGGCCAAGTGGGGGGAAAAAAAGGAGGGCAGAGAGTAAAAGACACATCATATCACCTTCTCAGGGAGAGGACAGAGTTCAGGAGGAAGAGGTATAGGCAGGCACACAGAACCTGCCTTCTAGGTTCTTCCTCCTTCCTCCACTCTGCCCCACTGTTGGGGGCAGGGTCAGAAATCACGAAATGGTGTTACCTGTCACTCCCAGCAAGACTACAGGCACTCCCTTCCAATGACAAGAAGGTCTATGTTCAAAGGTAAGTCCATTGCCAATCAGTGAAGGCTAATAGGCCCTAGAAAAACAGGAAAATCTGCGAACTCTACAGCTGTAGGCTCTGAGCTGTTCTATCCCACTACCCTGTTAAGTCTGGACCAGCATTTCTCCCGTGGAGTATTTGCAACGGGATCCTAACTCTGCTTTTCCAATTCGTCATCCACATGGCAATCAGGGAT